GCATGAAGAAATACATCAGTCGAGTGCATATGCACCTAACCTTCGTGACGACGAGCGAAAGGCTTCAAGCTTCCTCGTTTTACTTCTTCTTTCGTTAGTCAGAAGAACAATTACTGTTTTGTTTTCTTTCAGAACTTTTTCAGTTTTGATAAGTGCAAAATTTGAGTATGATTTATTGAGTGGAAACTGTATTATATACGCGATGTTACATTGCTTTACGATTGTAATTATAATTTATTTGCAATTTTATTTTATATTGTATTTATGGCAGAACAGTGTCACTACCAGGAGATGATACGGACAACAGAAGCGGCACGCATCGTTCAAGTTATCTCCTTCCTTGTATAGCTGTCTGAGGAACTTCAAACATGCAATGAAGTCGATTTCCATTTGAGATGAAGGAAGCAGGTTGCTATTTTCCCTAAACGGAGTTCCGAAACGATTAAATAAATTGGTGTCACTAGAACGGCATCGCTGATCCACCGTTCGCTCAAATGAACACCTACTTTCACTAAAAAGTGTCGTTCGATGAAACATCATAGGCGGGGCTTCGTTCGCTAAAACGTCGTTCAATCAAGGCAATGCCTCCGATGTCGTACCCAACTCAACGTTAATCACGGCACATGGTAGTGTGTTAATACTTCAAGATTTAAAGTTTCTATCATTTTGACGAAGTGAACAGAAAAGTACCTGTAAAAAGTAACTTCACTTAGTTACAAGTTACTGGAAAATGTACCTAAGATACAAATACAGATACCGAGAAATTAAAGTACCTAGGTTTGTTACTCAGGTACAACAAAAGTACCTAGATACCAATTTCCAGTTACTTGTACCTAGGTACTTTACAACCCTGGTTCCAATGTGCTCTGTGAATGCTAGTCTCTTATTAGTTCTAAGCTGATTCCTTTTTTTAGCTTTGTAAGCCACAAACAAACATTTCCTCAGAACAACTGGCAGGAACAAGTGGCTCCTGGCTTCCGGAGTCGTTTCAACAAAAACCCCTACATATTCACCCGGTCGAAACGAAATGTGCGAGACCCCATCACAATCGAGTAAGTCGGTGACACTTCAGCGTCCCAAAAAATGAGGTGTACACCTGCTATGCATTACTACCGTTCATGTGTTTAAATTTGCTGACTCAAATGCGGATTATGCGTGATGCGCTTCTCAGTGAGTGATTCTATATTTGTAAACAAGTCTTAGTCAAAATTGAATAGAAAAAATGAATCGATCGCCTGAATTCGCCGGGACCATGTCCGACTATTCAAGAATTCATGCAAATGTTTGCTTTTCTTTCGAGCAGGAATTATGATGTGACAAACTTCTTTGCCACGCATTCGATGCAGGAGGAGCCAAGCATCAGTTGTCGACGAGCATTCGGTCGTTAGCAACTGTCGAGTTACACTTGGATAGAAGCGTCGGTATTGGCAAGCTCAGTGAGGCTAAAACAAGTTTGTGTTACTTTTCAACACAAGTGTGTGCACTTAAACAGCTAAGACAGCACATCATTTACTCTGGTTAATGCGAAAACTTTTTGTACACCAGCCTCCACAGATCCGAAAAAAAAAAAAAAAAGAAATCAGAGGCGCTGTGAATTAGTGATGGACCGAATCTGCCGAAGTTCAGATTCGGCAAAGTTCTCCAAAGATTCGGCGAAAATTCGGCAAATGTCTGCGCACGTGCGAGAACGGGACAGGTCTGGGGATTGCAAATGGACGCCGCACAGTCGTGCGGTTACTATTGTGCAATGCATGGTGGTGCAGCGTAGTACAACCAGTGTTTACTGCGAGGTGTGGAGAGAGTACGCAACAAGAGTAGAAGATCGACCAGTAATTTGCGCAGTCCACTGCGCAATTTGCTGGTCGATGAGCACTTGGAGCAAACGACGCTCTTGCGTCGTTTGCTCCATGTGCTGCTGACAGGTATGGGTGCGCCTCGCCAGGGGGAGGGGTGGCGCTGCGTATCTGCGGCAAAACTTCAGCCGGAAAGAGACTGGCCAATCTGTGAATGATTGAGCACGCGAACATGCTATTTTGCTGCGGTCTACCACTAGGGGACACCTTCCTCTACACTGTGTCACATGCACGTGTCGGCCAAAGTTTGACACCATCACGATTTTGGGCAAAGGAGCTGATAAAACTGCGAGAGAATTGCTGTAAGCTTATGAGATAGGAAAGGTGGGCGATAATTGTGTCAAACATCGCTGAATTTACACTAGAGATAACTTTTTTGAGGATGTGTTGACGCTATGACGGTGTGGTTCGGACAGCACTGTGTCTACAGTGCTGTCCGACGGCACACCACTTGCGCCTACAAGTGCCGTCTGAAAGAAAGTCGGACGGCACGTGTATCACTGGGGAGCTTGCTATCCCACCCGCCCTTCTTGCATTCACGCCGCTTCGTGGTGACAATATGCGGCTGCTAATGACAAAACTGTTAACCCACTTGGCCCCGTCGTACACGCCGCTTCGCAGCATCCAGCCGACAACCCAAGCCCCCGCTGTCCCCCATGCACCTTCGGAAATGGAGTCCCATACAATTTTGTTCAGCGAAGTTTCGTCGACAACATTAGTTTTTTTTCAGAGTTAATTGTAAAAAAGAAACGTCTTAAATATCGCCAAGAGCCCCGACAAAACAAAAAATGTTTGAGAATAAAAAATAAAAAAAAGTAAGCCCACACTGTGGATCGAACCCAGGTCCACTGCATACAAGGAAGTTATGAATACTAGGAGGGGGTAGGTTGCAATAGTTGTGAAGTCTAGTCATAAAAATATTAAACGATTGTTTTGCCAATGTGACCGCGAGACCTCAGACAATTGATGCGCGTGCGAAATGGATGGTTGATTCTAGGATTCCTTGCAGGGGTTGCGCGTGCTCCGACCAGTAGGAGTTATCAAGTCGAAAGCTAGACGTGCAGCAGGCAAGCGGTCGAAGCGGATCAAGAGTAGACGACACACCGCTGCTGGTGCACGGGACGATCAAGGCAATCGCCGCAATCGCAACAAAGAAAACGAAAGCCTGGCGTCGCCGGGACGCTAATTTCCTCCGGCTACGGGATGGGCGCTTGCAGCATGGTCGACTGCCACAATCGGATTGACTTTTCTTCAGCGGGGTAAACCCATGGCGTATTACACCCACATAGCTTTATGATAATAAAAATCAATCAACAATTCTTTTAGATTTCTAACGGTCGCCGGACTGCGGAAATGGTGGATTTCGGCCACTGGTTGCCGCGGTGGCTGGACCCTTTCAAAGAGGAGCATGGTGTGCTCCGCGCACTTCCAATTGTCAATAAAACATCTCCCAATCTCGAGCCAAGTTGGGCTCGTTCAATTTGTCACGACCGCAATAAAACGTCCCAGTGGACGACCTGCAGAAAGGTCGCAATGAAAAGGAAAGGTGAAACGTGTTGTAGCGTAAGACATGAGAGTGATGAGAGCGCGGATGCAGAAATCATTGCCGTAAAAATGCCTAATGTCTCATTCGTCTGGGGCGCACCGCACCGCGCTGCACCGACGGACGCGTCACGTTCGCCTGGTCGTGTCGGTGCGGCTGCACTACGTTCGCCTGGGACTTCATGCAGAGCGCGGCACCGGTGCGTTGCTGCACCAGCTGCACCGTCGGAAAGAGACCATGCAGGTCCTCGCACTGCGACCTTGAGTTAACGCTCTCCGCTTCCTTCGGCACATCCTCTCTCTCTCTCCCCTCGTCTCGCAAAACATGGCGGCCCGCAGCTCGCGAGAATGTGATGTCGGCGCTGCTATCCTCTTTCCCTTAAGCCCTCTGCTCTGGCTACGATTCCAGCAGTGACGACGGGCGTTGGTTTTTCCCTTTTTGGGAAGTGTGTGCGTGCGGGGCTGCGTTGCGTCGGCCCTTGAGCAACCAGTCCACCACGCCGGGCACATGAAGCTTTCGTCGTTTGTCAGATTCAAGACATCAGATACTTGAACCATCCACTTGAAAGACGATTTGTTACTTTCATTCCTCGCTAGACGGCGCGAGCGGCCGCCCCACTCTTGCGGATATTTTTTACCGTCCACCCATTCATGTTTTGCCCTTGCAGTGACCGCACCGAGCTCGTCGCACGGCTGGATGCTTCACGCTCACCTGCATCATGTGCATCATGTACATGTACATGTGCATCATGTGCACCACATGTGCACATGTGCATCATGTGGTGCACCTGCACAGTGGCGTGGCCTTGGGTGCGACATTTTCTCGGTGCCATGCGCGCCCCAGACGAATGTGACATAAGTATTGGTCCAACCTGTTGGGTCGACATAGTTACAGAATCATATGTGTATATAATGTCTTCTTGCTTTGGCTAGTGCATTAATTAGTGGCCAGGAGATAAAAAGCACGCAGATGCTTCACGGTCACGTGCTGTGGTCACGTCAGCCCGATCAGTGAGGAGGGTAAGGAGGAAAACGAGAAAGAGGCGAGGCGACAAGGAAGCATGGATTGTGGAGGATACGCGGCCGACCTCATGCCCCCTCCTACCCTTCGAATCTCCTTGGCTGCGTATGGGGCAGACATCCTACTACTAAGTTGCTAAGCTATGCTGCTTCTTTTTTTATTTATTGTTAAGCTACGCTACAGCTTCGAAAAACTCGTTTTGACAATTCGCTTTATACGAGACTTTCGGACGGCACTTGAAGGCGTGACTCGTGAGTACCGTCGGACGGCACTTGAATGCTCTGCAAGAGTGCCGTCCGATGGAACTCGACACGCTACGTTTCATTAAACGTTCAGTTGAAGTTCGGCATTCGCCCTGTCCGTTCCTCCCCTCGTCTCCGTATTTTTCGCGCGCTGCTACCAGTTTGTAATCATGAACCAACTCGCCTGCATCGCTACATTTGATCCGCTACTCGTTTACCTGCGAGTTTCCGTGCGCAAAAGCGCGAAAAGCCATGGTTGAAGAAGTCCCGTAAGCAGGGACTTGCAAAGTTTATTTCAACGCTATCGCCTCGCTCCTAACGATTCAGTCTTGGGAACAGTACCTGTTTGTTGAGCAGAGAAGTCTTTCACGCGCTGCAGCTGTTGTAGGGGTTGTACCGGGTGAAACAAGGAAACGGTAGGCTCTTTGAATCGACCGGAAAATTCGGTTTCTTAACCTATCGCGCTACGACTTTGTGCAGCGTTGCCCACACATGGTGCATTTTTTTCGTAAAATTTGCAAAGAGCAGACTTACCTGAGGAAAAAGTAAAGAAAGAAAAAGGCTTAGCTCCTATGGAAACGCAGCGACGCCACCGGTCTGCAATCAACAAGGCGCCGTTTTGCACGGTAGACAAGAGATGGCGCAAGCGGTCGCGACGCCAACTGCCGCCAACGAACGAGCAGACGACGCCGAGAGCCGGCGTAATTAGCAGACAAGGAACTGCACTTCCTTGCTGTTACCGCGCCTGTCTTTTTTGTTTCTGCGACTGTCGCCGCCTGCGGAACGCGCGCCGCTTTTGAGTCGAAAAGATCGTCTGCTAAAGAGCCTTTGAGGAATACCTCGGCCGGCTCTCGGCGCCCGTATGCTCGTTCGTTGGCGGCGTTCGTTGCGCCATCTCTTGTCTACCGTGCAAAACGGCGCCGTGTTGATTGCAGACGGGTGGCGTCGCTGCGTTTCCATAGGACCTAAGCCTTTTTCTTTCTTTGTTTTTTCCTCAGGTAAGTTCGCTCTTTGCAAATTTGACAAAAAAAATGCACCATCTGTGGGCAACGCTGCACAAAGTCGTAACGCGATAGGTTAAGAAACCGAATTTTCCGGTCGATTTAAAGACCCTACCGTCTCCTTGTTTCACCCGGTAGTTTGTTTGCCACCATAGTTGTTGCTCATAATAAGAGTGCTAAATGAGTAATGGATCAATGAACACAGCTGAAGCTGAAGCCTGTGAATCGGGCCGCGCCTCGCGTCCTCTGGTTAGTAAGGATGAATGGACAAATGTGCGAAAAAGACCCCCTCCCCTAACCAAAGAAGGCCAATGCTTGCGACTTTCTTCCTTTGCTTTACCTTCTGCAATGCTTTGATTGACGCTCTGGCGACTAGCGACAGTCGCGAGAGCGACTCATACGACAAGCGACCATCGACGTTCAACTTCACACTGCGGGAGCTTCTCGGCGGTCGCCGTCGATTCAGTGCACCCCGCCAGAGCTCGAGATCGCGTTCCGCTGCTTCTCCATTTTCGTTGAGTTACAGCTGCATATCCGTCGAAGTTGCCATAGGAAAAAAACCGGTTATGTTGACGTGGGCCCTTCGGAACCGAACAGAGAAGCACAATCGCTACATCGGCGTGCACTCGCTCGAGCACGAGCAGCTTTTGGGAGCTCTAACTCCGTCAAAACGTAGCCCCAGCCGTTCGAACAAGATGCAAAATACCGGAATAAAAAGCTAGAGGTAAAAAAAAATGTTCGTGATAGGAGAGAACGCCGTCCGTGAGAAGCAGCAGACAAAATGCACAGATGCCAGCTCAATCGGCTAAGGGTTATAAAGTTTATCCAGTGCTTTACCAAGGGTCTCTACCAAGGGTTTTTGGTTAGTTTCGGTTTCAGTCTGGTGGTTTACGGCACAGTACACCCCCACCGTTTTCTCACGTGCTCCGCTCGGTTCAGGAACGTTGTTAGTGAATTTTTTTTTTTTTTTTTTTTTAAACTCAGGTTACGTTCGCTGAGTTGTTTATTTGTATAATGCTCTTTTTTTTTTATTGTGTGTAAAGATGTTTTGTTGCTTCAGCAGCTGGCTCGTGCATTTTTGTTGTTGTGGCGTGAGCCTTTAACTGATTTACAGGTGTAACATTGTGTAAGCTAGAGCCACTAAATGAGCGGCGCTTAGAGTACCGGCACTCCGTTCCCCGACATTGTTGTGGGCGCCGCCATTTTGGGGCTTGTGCAGAGCAGACGCAACTGCCGATCGTCATGATTCAAAAGTGAGACTTCCTTAGCATTAGATTTGATGTTAGAAAGCTCATACAATATTGCTTTGCTTTATCGCGAACTGTATAAACATTTTTGGCGGACTTAAAATCGTTTAATGCGATTTCAGATAAAGCTTCAGATAACTGGCAACCTTGATTTTAAGCCACAATATGGCCAAGTGTCGTTACTCTGAAGCGTAGCTTATTTAGTGGCACTAGTGTGCGCGACACCGGACACCTTTAATTATTATCAAGGTAATAATTAACGCGAGCAATATCTGCGGAAAGAAGAGGGCACGTACGAAGAATCTAATTTGCATGGGCATTCAGACACGGGAGAGCAGGCGCGTCAAGGGTGGCCCCGTGACGACAGCATTTGGCAGCCCTAAAAAGGGCCTTTGTCAGGGTATTAAAAGAAATAAACCGTACATTTGACGCTGTGAGTTTTGTTCCATAGACTGTTGTCAGGTCAGTTCTAGGCAGGGCAATACGGCTCTAATTCGCTTGGAACCAGGGGTTCGACGTGGCCTCCTAGGCGCCAAATGTAGAGGTCCTGGTGCACGTACTCTCCGAATGCGCAAGCTCGCATCTCGTTCGTGGTGAGAGCGAACACTGCCTCGATGCGCTGCTCCCTCGAGTGTGGGGATGCGGCCCACACATGGGACTTCACAATTAAACCCCCGAACGAAACAGTCGCGTATCGTCTGGCGATCGGAGCGCGCCCACGGCATGTTCGGCGATCCCCGGCCCATCCAGCGTCCTGGAAAGGCGTTGTCCAGCCAGTGCCTCGCAGTCGTCAACCAGTTGGGTAGCGCACCATCCTGCATAAAAATGCATACCTTCCGCTGCATGTGTTCCAACTCGGGAATGAACTCATATCCTGCATCATCTTCGGGTAGATGCTTCCATGTTACGTTGTCATTGAAGAAAAAGGGGCCAACTACGCCCTCTCGCCAGATTCCGCACCAGACTGTTACCTTCTGGACTGCAAAGCTTTGTCGAGCGTCCAGTGCGGATGTGTGTTCCCCTGCCCGTCCAGGTGAAATGTCGCCTCATCACTAAACAACAGAAACTGCAGATGTGATGGAGCTTGTCCAATCTTCAGGAACTCGTCTGTACGGTGTATGAAAGACCCCGTCTTTAACAGGACATTTGGAAGTGTCTGGATCGGACACGTATGTGAAAAAATGAAGTCTCCGCGAAGCATCTCTTGAGCTGAAAGAAAACCAAAATAGAAGTTAGTTTCGGTTTCATTCCTGAATTAAAACCCTTCTGTGGCGTAAGTATTACGTTAAACGCCGTTTTGAAAGAAATCAAATTAAGACTTAAAAAAAAAACTGCCTGATAATATACTAAATTGAAACTATTCAAAATAAAGTTTACAAATTAGTTAACAAAATAAAATACCAAAGTTGGGAAATATTTGTAAATGTATTCACTGCCGAATCATTGTTGCAATTTCGGGCGCTTTTTCTGTCGCTTTCTCTGGACAGCTTCGTTTGTTGGGATCTTTCTTCTGTGGTAAATTTAAAACACTTCAAGGAGCAAAAGAAGGCGCCGACACGAAGGGACTGGGTTTGACTCTGTGCAAGCCAGTGGTAAGTGTGCCGATCTCGATAAAGAGAAGATCGGGGAAGTACCGGCGTGGGTCAAAGGGATCGACGGCCCTTCGAAGATAAAGCGCATGTGCGAGCGACCAGACAAGCGACGGCGACCCGCTTCGCTGTCGCTTGATCAGTCGCACGAGGAGGCAAACCGTATGAAAGCGGACGCAGTAGAGTCCAAACGGAACGATAGCTGGCCCAGTAGAGTTCCGTCCAGCTCCAGACGGTTCTGCCCTAGGGCCCAGCAGAGAATATTGTTCCTTTTCGTCCAAGCTGGAGAACAATAACGAGCCCTCGATCAATGATATTAATGCTACAAACTTTTTTTTTTTTTTTTTATCTTGTGCAGGTTATGCAAATATGTCTGATGGTTAACTGGACATTTTTTGCAACAGTCCGAAGTGTACTGATTGCTGAAACAATTTTAAATATGAAACATCTGGCATCAAGTAGGATTTGATGCAGAAGGCCCCTCGATTCTTCCTAATTAAAAAAAGAAAGACGGACAAAAAATAGATGAGGAGACAAGTGGAAACATGACAACTAAACGAGGATCACGCTTTCACTCTCAAGCCCTAAAAAAAAAAGAAAAAGTATATTGTATTGTTCCTTTTTTTTTTTATTCTCAGATGTACCTTAATAGAGTACTCTGCTTGGTGCTGAAATAAGCATTTTGGACAGTACTAACAAACTCGTAAAACATTATTTATTGCTTTGCAGTAGTTGTTACCCCACATAATGAATTCCAGAACTGCATTTTTGCTAGCTGTGTACAAAATGTCTTGGTACAATGGCACAAACAATTTTTGTATGATAGCATCAAAGTCCCATACGTTGAGTGTTCCTTAGTTCCACACTCCAATGAATGTAGTCTTACCAAATACGAGTGTCCTGAGCGTATTTCTAGGTCCAATTGAAATTCCATTTGTTAGTACTAACATGGTAGCACTAATTCCCAGCGTTATGAAGGCCCGTTCACACTCTTGCTACTGCTTGCGACCTCTTAAACCTGGGTTCCTTAAAACTTCTTAAACCAGAGAACACACTGGCGCCATCTATTGGGAAGCAGTGTAAACTCGGCGGTCCGGCATACTTTTCTTTATTTCTCGCGCAATATCCTTTCTTTTTTGGCTCGAAAAGCTTTTGTCAATGTTATAAACGAGCCTTTCTATGGGTATTACGCACATTTGACCTCAAAAATCCCGCAAAACCTTCGCTTTTGTGAAATGCAGTTCTAGGGTCACCGCATAGATGGCGCCACAATGTCAGTGCGTTCCCTCATTCTAGAAACATTTAAGAAGTTGTAAGAGATCTTGTCTCTCTCAGTCGTACTCGGTCGCAAGAGTGTGAATGGGCCTTGATGGTTTTGTGTAAAGCAAGGTTGGATCCTGCTCCTTCCATGACAAAGATGAGTGCCAACAGTCTTCCGGTGACAAGCGGCCATGTGTGTCGAGTGTGCCTATAACAAGATGACCTAGATCGAGAAGGCTGCTGTGCCCAGTTGCAACAAGCTTTCCGGTGATGAGTTGGACTGTGACGAGTGGCCTGGTTTCAGTAGAAAACAAAACAAGCTACTCTGGCTCCCCTAAGAGGAGCCAATCTACAATGTCTAGTCCGGGCCATGTGTAAGGCCACGACAGCTATCTGCAACGACCAGGTTCTGTGCAGTTTCCATTTCAACTCCGTAACTGTTTAGCACTCATCTATCAATTCATCAACATTCGAGAACTGCAACATCTGCCTTGTCCCCTGCTCGCGTAACACCCGGTGCAGTGATATGGATGCAGCATCCTCCAAAATTGATGTCACTCCGTTGCAGGTTATACCAGCTGTTTCTGCAAGCACTTTTAAAAGTTCTTACCACTAGGGAGTTCGAGAAATAAACTCTTTTCGGAAACAAACTGCCGACCACGGGGGACGTCAAAGATTGCGGAAAAGAGCCACAAATTAGTGAAAATGAACAAATGGTCCTGACTAGAAACTTGCTGAGCGTCATTACAAGCTCAAAGATTAGTCAGTTATAGAAAGAATAAGCATGTGCAAAGTCTGAGGATGCGCTAAAGTTCCCCCTCATGAAGCTGGAGGAAGGCTGGCAATGTGAAAATGCCAATGATAACAAAATCATCAGTGTTTTTGCATCGTTAGCCTTGCGCCTGCTGAACGAGTAGAAACTTACTAATTTTCACGTTTCATACATGCTTTAAAGGGATACTTCAACGAAATTTGAAATGTACCCGTCGTGTTGAAAAATAGGTTGAATATGATCCACAATATCCGTAAATGACAATCGCACGTTTGTATTTTGAGCCTGGTGGCTGTAGTTTTCGTTATTAATGGCGAATCTGGCAAGCGCTCAGAGAGCAGCCAGCGGAGAGTATGTGACATTTCCCGCAATCGTGACGTAGTTCGTCTCGAGGCGACCAAAGCTGTGGCGAGGCTGTTGTCGAGAGGATGTCGTAGTCGTTCCAGCCACCGAAGCGGCTGCTTTTGTACAATTTTTGAGTGACGGGTTAATCTTCTATAATCTTGTAGAGGGACAATAGCGACTTCTGGGACATACAAAAGGGATTCTCGGGAATAGGGGAGTTCCTCTTTCCCCTCTTTTCTCGTGATGGCTGGAGGCGAGACAGTTACCGTCACCACCTGTCAAGGTTCCTAGATGAACATTACAAACGAGGCATTAGCGACATCCACCAGGGGCTCTTTGCTAATCGTCTAATTCGTTTTAAAATTTTTTTTCGTGTCTTTTTTAATTGGATAATGGTGTGTCCGATGTGATACTGCTCCTTTGAGCGCATAGTGACCAAAAAGTAAGCGCCAAAATTTCGTTGTGGTGAAATTTTGACGCTTATTTCTTGGTCTATTCGTGTACAGGGAGCATTATCACATCAGACATGCCAATCTCTTGTTGAAAAAGACACAAAAAAGAAATTTAAAAACAAAAATAAACGATTAGCAAAGAGCACCTGGGGGATGTCGCTGACGCCTCGTTTGTAATGCCCGTCTAGAAGCCTTGACAATATCTGTCTTGGCTCCGCCCACGACCCGAGAAGATCTGCAGGAGGAATTTCCCTCTTGCCGAGACTCCTCTTTTGTGTGTCCCAGAAGTCGCCATTGTCCCTCTACAAGATTATACACCTTTCCAAAAAACGCTCCTAGGCCGCCGCCATGTTGCTGATGCTGATGCGGCCGGTGCGACTCTCGCGCCCTCTATCAGCTAGAAATTTTCTGCCACTCTCTGGGACCGTGAAGACCCGCTCAGCGCGGTTCTCTACCTACGTTTTTGCGGTTTTGCATTCGACGTTTTTTCGCCCCTCTTGAAAGTTTCCACTTAATTTTTTTTATGCGTGCTGCGTACCCTTTTCGTGTGATCTTCCATTGTGAGAAATAAGTCTGGTAAGTGCATGTCATTCAAACTTTCCTGCTAGACATTCACGGGAAACGAAGGAGGTGAAGGACGTCGAACGACCCTCGACGCGATTTTGCGAACACTCTCCCCTCCCAGAGATAATCCGCGTAGAATCCTCAGTCATCTCCAAAAATAGTTGTCCGGGTTGGGGTGAGAAACGGGTCAGTCGTGTTGGTTTCTTTGCCTGGGTGCGGTTGTGAAAAAAGGAAGCTCTCCCCAAAACGTGCCCCAAAACGAAGTCATCTCGGATTCCGTCCAATCGTCAAGATGTGACTGTCGTCGAGCTGTGACTGTGTTATTTGAGATCTTTCTCAACTAAATTCTTCTTGGATAACGCTGCATCGTGTGGTACGTACGATATATTTTTTGAATGTTAACACTTTGTATATCCGTGTCCTGTCCATCGGTAAACACATTATTTCTGAGCGTGAAAAATGCATGCCTTTCGGCCCCCTTCTGTTGAATTTATTTTTTACAGCAAAGCGCTTTGTCGTTTCACATGCGGCGAATCCCGCGGCGCCGACAAAGCTTATCGTTAGAAAAAAAAAAAAAAATTATTCGTTCTGTCGCGCGCGTACCCAACAAAAATAGTTTACCGTTTTTTTTGTTTTTTTTTTGCTTTTTTTTGTTTTTTCGATGCTTTCTCAATGTCCTCGGCAAAATACATGTTCCATAAAACACGAAATATAGCGGGAAAAGACGAGAATTTAGCCGCCAGCAGCGTTTGAAACTGCGCCTACGCAGGCTGCGCCTATTGAAATCACAGTCCACTCAGTTAGGGTTAGAAGGGATGCCGGTGAGAGTCTATCCTCAAACTCAGTGACTGGGCTCGAAAACGGTTTGTTGCCCCTGGGGTCGAGTGTTTTTTGGAAAGGTGTATAGAGCAGTAACCCATCACTCAAAATTCGTACAAAGGCAGGCTTGGGGTTACTCGCAAAGGCCCGATCGCTGGTGTGCTTCGGCTGCTTTCAGCGCGTGCTACGAGCCATCAGGGCCTATCCAAGGTCGTGGGAATGTCACATGACCTTGGAGAGGGGGCAGAACGACGCGCGGAAAGCGTATCACGGGCTACGTCCACAGAGCGGGATTGGCCGGGACAGCTCGCAGGCGTCCGGACTTAAGGTCCCGAGACAAACTACGTCACGATTGCTGCGGATGTGGCGTGCTCTACCCTGGCTGCTCTCCGAGCGTTTGCCACAGTGGGCCATTTATAGACCTTTTCACCCTCCGTCGGATGGGCGCTGCCATCTTGGAGTCACGTGATGCGGCCGCCATTAGGTTGCTTCAACTTGTTGCTCCGCTTTCCCCTCCGCGCTACTCCGCGTCTTGGCGGATGCGTTGAATTCGTGTTTTTCGTCGCGTTTCACCGCGTTTCTTACTTCTCTCTGGAAAGTGTTGTCCGATTACTTGTACATATACCATGTGTTTGCATTACATAATTATGTTCAGAATTTCTTCAGTTGATTTTGTAACACGTTTTGACTATTTTTACCGTCGTTGTACCGGCTACGTGTGATGAGGCCATTTGAGCAGAAGAATCAGCGTTAACACTCACGCACATTGAGCACATCTATGACTAAAACAGCAGGAGGATTCAAAGGTGAATAACTTATAAAAACTCAGGTTCACTTACTAATAGGGGTGGAATATTCGCAATAGGAAGCACAATATAAATATATATGCGATCGCGCATTTAGGGTCTCATGGAAGGTGACAAAATACTCACTGTAAATAACCACGAGTGTTTCCTGAAAGCATCGTGTTTTGTATTTATAACAAATCGAAAAGGGGAACTCGTGGACAAGATAGTCAAGAAACGTTTAATTTGATTTTTTTTAAACTGATGCTAGAAATAATAGTACATCAACATCAGGCAATTTGTTTGTTTACAACACCACACCTACATCTGTTTGACGTTCTTAATCGTTTTCGCTCTATAAACTTTCTCGTGATCGGTTTATTTATGAATTTATTTACAAGAGATTAATGTCATACTTTAATTGAGGGGCCTGTCAATTATCTCATACCTTGAGAACGTCATAAGCGTATCTCCATATAACAAATAGTCTATTTCATAGGGCCAATATTGTGATATCTTGGTAATGAGTACTTTAGTTAAAATGTTCTAGTTGGCCTAGGTTGTCTATTGAAATATTTCTCGAGAACCCATTTTATTTAAATAAAACAGGCCGAGGAAACCACACTTTTCTTTATAGTATCTACGTCATTATAGGGGACTTCTTCAGACTGCGAAGTTCACAAAAAGTTGGTCTTTGAAACCCAAACAGTAAACTTGTCACTTTATCTGTTTTTGGTGATTCAGCACATTGTTAATCACTTTGTGGACCTGCTCCTTCACTTAGTGCTCATGCATTATAGTCTGTTATAATATAAGATAAGCAGTCGAATCTCTGACTCGAGCTCGAGCCCTTCCATAACACTCGGTGCACGTGCAGCCAAAGCCCGGCGGCAGGCAAGAAGCGCGTGCTGGAGAAAAGCTTCTCCTGACCTTTATTTCTAGCCCCTATGTTCCGCGGGTACGGCCGTGGGCGATGAGAATCCCCTCTTTGTATCAGACCAGTTGTTTCACCGTCGAACCTGACTGAAATTGACGATTGGATGTAATCAGACGCATCTGGTGTCCGTGAAGGTGCTCGAAATTTAGGCTCGAAACAACCTCGTGGTTGTCCAAGTGACTCAGCACCATTGTGTCATTCGTTGTGTGCCACGGCAAAGAAATTTGTATCACAAAATTAAGCGAAAACGGCTTGAAACAGCAACACAATGGCGTGCGCGAAAGAACCAAAACCAACCAAATTGAAGCAACCTCATGGCAACGAGTGCACCAGCGCCCTCTACTCGACGGTCAGCCAACTACTGAAATCAAAAGGTCTATAACGAAAAATACAGCCATCAGGCTCAAAATCGAAACGTGCGATTGTCATTTATGGATATTGTGGATCATATTCAACCTATTTCTGAACACGATGGGAATATTTCAAATTTCCTTTAAGTATTCCTTTAACTCTTCCCGAGGTTGACTGATATAAGAGCTCTGGATGAGTCTTAACAAGCTTCCTAATGAAACCATGTTTATTTTTATTAATTAACAAATTAGCACACTTCAGGTATTTGGTTTGCTAATTACCAAAAAATACCGAAGAAGTGCCCACTTCGTTCCGGTGCCAACTATTAACATTTCCCAAACTTTGGAATTCAGCTTTTTAACAATTCAATCTAAAGGAATTTATTAAACTTCGCAGTGTGCGAATACTTGTATGGGAATTAAGCAACACTCGAAACATTTTTTTGGAAAGAGGCTTCCTCTATGGGTGGATCCGAGGGTCTTGAGGTTCAGTCCAATTTATCTACAAAAATAAAGCGCTCTCTGCAGAACAAATTTAGCAAATATGTAGGGAAAGCTAATAGAATAGAATAGTTTAGTTTATTTCAGACATACATGCGTCATACATGTGTCTAGGGGGCTGCGGCAAAAGAAGGCAGAAAAAAACCTCTGACGTGGCTGCCAGCCCCCCCCCCTCTCGGCAGTCAACAGAAACAGGATACAATTGTGGCGACGCACAGTCACCAACATTTTGGCTGCCTTGAATTGCCGGTGGAAGTGCTCAATCATCCCATTGGCGCAAGGATGGTAACTGGTGGTCCTCAAGCGCTCGAACCCGGTGGTGAGCCCGAGGAGCCTGAAGAGTTGCGATTCGAACTCTTGTCCTTGGTCGGCTGTGACTCGCTCTGTCCCCGAAGCGCCGATGGTAGTACCATCGACTACTGTCACGAGGCGAGGTTGTAGTGCGCCAAAATGTTGGTGATTGTGCGGATTTTTACAAGCCCTGAGGGCTCTCCACTCCGCGGGGGGGGGTGATGTGATGTGGCAACGCACAATCACCAACATTTTGCCGCACTACAACCTCGTCGTCGTCTGCTTCGGGGAAGCACAGCCGCGCGCGACACAGGCACGCGGGGCGCAGGAACGTCCGTCAACCGCCGCCGCCGAAGCAATAAAACCGCCGTTCCTTTTTCTATCTTGGCAACCTGTGTGGTTCTTCCAGTTCTTGTTCCGTTAGTGGCGGCAGGTCGAGCTCTAAGGCTAGGTCGTTCAGCTTCAGCTGTAAGGTCTCATTCACCGAATAATGTAGGCCATGAATTTCAAGGTTTCGCAGCCTACTGTATTGTTCGAGGTCATTAATTTTTCACTTGAGCTGTTTTGTTTCTTCATTATCAGTCTTTTCTACCTTTGGTATGTGTTCTTTAAGGTCCGTCATTTCTTGTCTTTGACTGCGCATGTCAGCAAGTAGCCCATTATACTTGTCTGACACATTCTGTACTTTTTTTTCAATATTCTCTACAGCACTCTTCATTTCCATAAGTGCAGCAAGTTTCTTGTTTATTTCCACCAGCATGTTTCCTTCTTCGTGGTCTTTAGTATCTTTACTCTGCTTCGATTTTTCCGGTGCTGACCACCTCACGTTTTAGTTGTCTTGCAACTTGGGCATACCCAAGGATTTTTGGCAACTGCTTTCTTTGCCTTGGTTATTTTGGTTTCAGAACATTCACCAAAGTGATAACTGAACTTGCATTCAACATAAGTTAAAAACGAGCCGTCCTCGGGAAGTGTTGCATGGCAGGATATGCACTCGTCATCATCCAATGACATAGTATTCAAGAAAAGCACACTCGAAGGCACTAGAAATGTCAGCAGTGGCAGTAGCAACAACCATAGAATGATCAAAATGATTAAAGAGGGAGCATCAACTTGTGGTGGCGTGAAGATAGATTAGCGCGGAGAAGTAGGTGCCCCTGTCGCTGCCAATAGATGAGCGGTCCCGCGATGCCCTTTTCTTATATCCCTGCTTGGCTGTGGCGAGGGGGCATGCCGGTGTCGGTGATTGTCAATCGCTTAGGCTTTTCGTGGCGATGCTCCCGTTCCTGGCTGGAATTGACAGCGTTTTGCAGCAAGACACTGTAATGGCGTGAAGACAGCACGAAAAAGTAGGCGCCACTGCCGCTGCTGACTGCCAATGATTCCAGTGGCATACTTACCTCAGATTTTATCTTTTGCCAGTCTCCCCTTTAACTGATAGAAATTTTACTGTAATGGCAATGTGGCAGAAAGCAAGAAAACGGATTGTTTTAGCATATGCGAGCGAGCACCCATTGCTAGGTGCTCAGCATTCCATTTTCTCATTAATTTGTCATTGTTATAAAATTGTGGGTATTCCTCTCATGTGTGTTATCCTCATACCTGTCTGGCTAACTTGATGTGCTTGGAGGGTGTGCCTGCTTTGTTCCTAATTACGGTGATTGCTCTCTGCATTCGGTCCTAGTCATCTCAAGTGGTCCCGTGGCTCCTTCGTAATCGCCCATGCCTACTTGCAAACCTGATCACAGCCAGCAATTTGAATGGAATCGATCCAGTCCTTAAGTCTTGGTAAGTTTTTCGTTTCAACCTCTTTCATATAGAGAGTAAAATGGCTGGGTTTTACTAGAGCACTGCACGGGCCCGGGCCTGCCGGAAAGCCCTAGCTCGGCCCGGCAGCACGTATTTTCTCGGGCCCGGGCCAGGCTCAAGCTTGAACAAAAAGTTCTCGGGCCACGCCAGCCCGGGCCGCCTCTGGGCGTGCCGTAAATTTTAAATTGTTGAGAACAAAAAGTTAGGTCATTCATCTTTTAGGTTAATTGAAAACTAAAAAGGCAAAGTGCAAAGTCACTACAGTGCTGTTCACAATAACAAAAAGGCGTCTTGCAGTTCGAAAGCCTTCAAGCGGATAAAAGAAAACGTATGGACTCCACCAGCATAGTGGGAGAGTTCGGGCAAGAAACCGAGGGCACTCCGGTCGCAGGGTACAACATGATTGTATTTTTCCTGTGCTTTTCAAACTAAAAAAAAAGAAAAGCATGACCTCGACTTCATACTTTCTACGGGGGCCTTACTGTGCCACCAAAAACATGCTAACATACCCTAGATATATGTTTTTTTTACGAATCCTTTTGAAGATGCACTAGCAAGGTTGTGATTGTGTTTTCTTTTCTTTTAGAATCTTTCCGGGTTCAAAGTGTCCAATAGAATCAACCTATGTCCTGTCCATGTTACCAACCGTCCAATAAGAAACAGACGCTTGACAAGTCCACCTTTCCAGAGAAACTTTTCTTGTATTATCATTTCTATACTGCCACCCTCTGTCCCAATGGCAGCAATAAAAGGTGGTGCGCCAATACCGACAATCGGCGAGCTTGGCATCACGTGCGCTCTACTAACTTGTTGAGAAGACAAAATGTATGAGCTCTGTTTGGGAAAAAGTTCTCACAGCTGTGGACTCCAAGTCGTCGGTGCCCAAAAGACATGTTCAGTGTCGTTCGTTCAAAGACAGGGACGTCTCATCTCGGTCGTCACAAGTGCAAGGTTTCATCGAACAGCACAAGTATTTCTAGTTTTAATCACCTCAATGCCCTAAACCTCCCACACCCGCGGAAGAAAGTGACAACCGCATGCGCGAAAAATATCCATGCTAAAGCCCGTCTGCTTTCAGTTCGAGGAGATAGAAGGTCTTCTGGAGTCAAGGAACAATCCAGTGATGGGAAGCGTGAACAAGACAACACTCAACGAGTTAAGGCGAGACACTGGCTCTAAAATTGACGTTTTTATTTTTGCAGCTATTCTAATGAAAATCACTGTGCATATGTGCTTCTTGTTCCTCATTTTAAATATGAAATCAGTTTTAAAATATCTCATGTAGTTCTCAAGTTATTAAAAATAGTGTTGCCTAATTTGGTAATTTCTACGGGTCGTTAAGGCCATTTCCAACAAAAAATATTTTTTTCATTAATGTAGATGCATAGCTAAAGGTTTGCCATGCATTATAAAGCTATTTAAATTTTCACGAAATGACAATATTATATAAAAAATTGGCTAATTATGCCAATTATGACATTAATGAGGTCACATTATTTATCATAATTTTTTTTTTGGAACTCCAGACTGTAAAAAAATAGCTTTACTCCGTAGTCCAGTCCTTTCTGAATAAAACGGTATCAAAGTTTCAAAATGCTACTGCAAAAGATCATCGTCTTCTTTGTCAGCAGAGCACGAGCTCGGACACGGGAGCTCGTGCATTCCGTTCTTCGGCGAGTTGGAATCTTGGCAGCTAGTCATGTCCCTCTGACCTGCTGTATTGGAATAAACCCTCAGTACACCCCTTGACTCGGGTCTACTACACTGGCGACGAGGTGAAGACCACACCGGACTTAACGGGAGCACGGCAGAGCAGCAGCGAGCATGGTGGAGAACCAGACCCACCGCTTCCACGGTCCCGGGACATTCGACGCCGAAAAGGAGAACTGGAAGCTTTATCAGATAAGGTTTCAAGCTTGTCTCGACGTCGCTAAGATCACTGCCGAGGCGGACAAGAGAAACTTATTGATCGCTTCAATTGGTCCCGAGACATTCAAGCTGCTCTACTCCCTAATTCAGCCACAGAGCTTTCTGGAGACACCGTATCAAGAGTTGCTCAAAAAGCTCGAAGAACATTTCGCACCTAAGAAATTCAAGGAATTCGAACGGGCGAAGTTGTTTTCGGCTCGCCAGGAAGAAAACGAGACAATCAAAGACTTCATAACGCGGCTTAGATCAATTCTCATTAACGGCGACTATGAACCTGAAGCCGACGCCAGAAGTTCGTCCCTTTTGACGGCATTCATCGTGGGTCTCCGTGACGCGCGTCCGGGCACGTCTGGTGCTCGAGAAGGACCTCACTCTGGACGTCGCACTTGGCTTGGCCGAGTCAACTCTCACCGCCGAAGCAGAGTCCCGGCGCCTAGACCGGGGAGACCACGCTGCGCTGCTCGTTGAAAATGTGAAGCCGTCCACTTCTGCGCCAGTCAAGTGTTTTCGATGCGGCAACACCAACCATTCGGAGAGTTCCTGCCGCTTCCGAACTGAGTCGTGCAATGCATGCGGCAAACGAGGCCACATTGCAAAAGTATGTCGATCAGCGGAGCGTCACAAGACAGCTGGCAAGAAAAAGGAAAAGGTGAAAACAATCACCAACGTATTCGTCACTCCAGGATCAGATGGCGAATTTGTCTCTTGCATTATTCAAGGAACACCCGTAAGGTTGCAGGTCGACACAGGATCTAAGCTGACACTCCTAGACACTGACACGTGGCGGAAGATAGGGAAGCCCACCTTGCAAAAATGCGACTACAACCTCTTCTGCTTCAACCAGAAGAAAATCGCGGTCCAGGGACGGTGCTTGCTTCAGGTCACGCTTGGAAAACGCTCGAAGAGCTAGAAGCATTGGTGACCGACAAGCGACACACCAACCCGCTAGGAAGAACGTGGATACACAGGCTGCAGATTGACCTCAACAAATTGTTTATTCGATCTGTGGAACTGGAAGTAGAAGCCTCACTTCAGACAATGTTGGCAACATTTCCGACCTTGTTCTCCGGCGACTTGGGCTGTTGCACTAAACTCAAGGTCCAACTTCAGTTCAAGCCTGACGCGAAACCAAAGTTCTTCAAGCCCCGCCCAATACCGTTTGCTACGCGAGAAGCAGTAGAGAAAGACTTGGCCAAGCAAGTCAAGAACAACGTTCTCAGACCCGTGGACTTCTCGCAGTGGGCGACTCCAATTGTGGTCGTCCCAAAGTCGGATGGATCGGTTCGAGTCTGTGGTGACTTCAGTGTCACGGTAAATCCTCAGCTCGACATAACCCAGTACCCACTGCCACGTCCAGAAGAACTTTTCGCTAAACTAAATGGAGGCAACAAATTCACGAAGCTGGACTTGTCAGAAGCGTATCTCCAGCTGGAACTCGATGAAGAGGCAAGAACGGCTCTCGTGATCAACACGCACAAAGGTCTGTTCCGATTCAACCGGATGCCTTTTGGAGTCGCCTCCGCCCCAGCAGTGTTCCAGCGCACGATGGACCAGGTAACTGCAGGGCTCGAAGGCGTTGCCTGTTACCTCGATGATATCATTGTCACTGGAAGAGATACTCCTGAACACCTCAAAAATCTTCAACAAGTGCTCCAGCGGCTAGAGGAATACGGCTTCACGCTCAAGAGGGAAAAATGCGCCTTTCTTCAAGAAAAGGTCGAGTACCTCGGGCAGGTCGTTTCCGCCGATGGCTTCACGCCTTCCATGAAAAAGGTCTCGGCTATCCTGAATATGCCAGAGCCCAAGAACATCAGCCAGCTAAGATCTCTCCTCGGCATGGTGCAGCATTACGGCAAGTTCCTTCCGAACCTTGCTGACAAATGTGCGCCACTTAACAAGCTACTGAGAAAAGACACCGCCTGGCAATGGAGCTCCGAGTGCGTAGATGCGTTTGAAAACATCAAACGACAGCTGACGGCTACGAAGGCCCTAGTCCACTTCAACCCTGATCTGCCAATTTACCTCGCGGCGGATGCATCGTCAGAAGGCGTGGGCGCGGTGATATATCACAAGATCAATGGCAAGGAACGCCCCATAGCACATGCTTCTAAGACACTGAATTCGTCAGAGTGTGCTTATGCACAAATAGAAAAGGAAGCACTTGCCATCATCTTTGGAGTCCGCAAATTTCACCAGTACCTTTGGGGACGCAAGTTTGTGCTCTATACTGACCACAAACCTCTGACAACCATATTTGGCCCCATGAAGGGAATCCCCGTGACATCGGCAAACAGACTCCAGCGTTGGGCCCTTATACTAATGAACTACAGCTACACAATTGAGTACGTGCCAACAGCAAACTTCGGAAACGCTGATGGACTTTCGCGTTTCGCACAAGGTCCCGACGAGGACTTCGACAAGGAAATGGCAAGCGGAGTTTTCACCATCTCCTGTGATACAGAACATGTCTTTGCGCTTCACACCCAGAGTTTGTCTAAGTTACCAGTGAAGGCAAAGGACATTGCCACGGAAACTGCGTCAGATTCTGTCCTCTCCCAAGTACAACGGTACATCAGTCAGGGCTGGCCAGAAAAGGTGACGGACTCCGACCTCACGCCATTCCATAGACAGAGATCGGAATTAGCCATCCTCAACGGTTGCATCCTATGGAATTCGCGAACCGTAGTTCCACGCAAATTCCAGCACCAAGTAATGGAACTTCTTCATGAAGGACACGTGGGTCAAACAAAAATGAAGATGTTGGCACGGTCGTACGTGTGGTGGCCACACATCGACAGAGACATTGAGCGCACGACGCAGCAATGTGAGGTCTGCAGCACTGTTTGCGACAACAAACCACAGGTTCCTCTTCACCGCTGGGAAGCTCCGGAACTGCCGTGGCAGAGACTTCATGCTGACTTTGCACAGCTAGATCAGCAAAGCTATCTCATCGTCATAGATGCGTTCAGCAAATGGCCTGAGGTTATGCCGATGAAATCCATAACAGCGGCAGATACCATCGACGCTTTGCAGGAGATTTTCTCTCGTCA